GATTTCGCTCATTTTTTTTGGCTCGGCTCTAACAAGTCGGTACTGCCAAGCAGGTCGGCACGAGCTCTCGGTTTTTTTATATAAAAAAGAAAAAAAGAGAAAAATGAAAACAAAAACGTAGGTTTTCTCCCACGAAGCGCTCGGTTTTTAGTCGTGAGCTCGACTTTCCCTACAATTCAAAAATCACCCGGGCATGGCTCGACGAACTCCTCCACTCTCATTCTTGAGCTCGTCGTCGAACACATTCACCCACTTACTCGTCGGGGATTTCGGGGGTTTGTTCTTCAAATCCTCACCCCTCTCAAACTTCATCCCTTTTTGTGAATTTTCAAACCCCGGAAATCACATCATTCTTCAAGATCGGTGAGTTGCCTTCCGGTTTTGTCTTATTACTCTTTTTCTTACCTTCCGACCCCTTCTTAATCGGTTTTGTCCCCTTACCAACTCCAACATCAACTTTCAACTTCTCAACTTTCACACCAACTCCAATTTTCTCATCCACCTCCGACTTCATTTCCTTCATCTTACTCTCGACACAATTATAATTAGAAATTTTAGAACAAAGATTGGAATGTACCTCATTGTCGATGTCCTCCACAAACGAGCATTGGCCAACTTTGGGTGGAGTGTCCCGGGCATTGTTCATCGTGAAAGTAGCAATCTCTCCATGAGTCGAGAGAGTGACTCGTCCCTCCTTGACATCGATAATGGTGTTGGTCGTCTCCATAAAGGGTCGCCCAAGCAAAATCGTGTGCTTCTTCCCGGTGTTCGGGACATCTCCAACGTCAAGGACTACGAAATCAACCGGCACAACAATCTAGCCAACCTTGACCAACACATCTTCGATTATACCTTTTGACTCCCGCAAGGTGCGGTCCGCCAATTGGAGGCTCATCCGAGTCGGCTTAAGCCCTTGCAAACCTAATTGCTTGTAGATCGAGTAAGGCATGAGGTTTATACCGGCTCCAAGTCTAACATCCCGGTTGTAGTCTTCCCATTCCCGAATGTAATATTCATGACAAAGGCTCCCGAGTCACATTCTTTCCGAGGTATGGTAGTCGAGGCTACCTCAGAAATCATCACCTTCTCATTATCCACGAATCTCCTCTTTTTCGAAGCTAAGTCCTTGAAAAATTGAACATATGCCGACACGTTTTTGATAACGTCTAGAAGTGGGAGGTTCACGTTTACCTTCGAGAGCATGTCAAAAAGATCTTGAAATTGACGCTCCTTCTTTGTATCTTTCAAACGGCTCGGGAAGGGAACCGGTGGTCGGTAAGGTGCATCCGCTTTATGCAAAGCCTCTCGGGCATCTTTCTTCGAACTCTCCTTCTCAATTCTCTCATCAACTATGGCTTTCCCTTTCGAAGCCTCAACCTGCTCACCCGACTCATCATCATCCTCATCAACAACAACTTCAACAACCTCATTTTCCTCGGGTACCTCAACACAATTATCGACCTTCTTACCACTTCTCAACACCGTAATAGCATTCAAGTGCTCGGGTTGGATCGGGAGTTTGTCTTTCATCTTGCTCCTTTGGATTTCCCCGATGGAACTCCCGAGTTGCCCCATTGAGTCTCGAGGCATTTGAGAGAGGCTTGAATTGATGGCACTCCTTTGACGGTATCGTGCAACGTGGAGACGGTTGAGGCCAACGATTGAAGACACTTCTCTAAGCTTTCGATCCGAGTCTCCGAAGACTCTCCATTAGCATTCTTCTCAGGCTCGGGTGGAGGTGGCAAAGGTTGCCTCGGGATGAAGCCTCCACGCCCTTGTGGATATCCTTGAAACTCGGGCCTCGGTTGATAGCCTTAGAATTCGGGCCTCGGTTGGAACGATGGTCGGTTGTTCGGTTGAGCATATTGTTGAGGTTGGGAATAGGCTTGTTGTGGTG